TAGAATCGGTTTCGCACATGTCAAGATTTTTATTATTAACTACTTTGACTGTTTGGCATTAACTGATGAAGAACTCGCAACGACCTTGGGAAGGGAAGTGAATGTCCCCTGGGAAGATACCTTGACCCCATCAGCATTATCTAAGTATGCTGTTGGTGAAATATGTCTGAAACCTTTTGGCATGGTATTTTCAGGGAAGGATACAAAAGGAAAGCCCAAGAAATTTTTGTTCAAGGTCTCGGAAATTGAAAGATATACTTCTTCGCAATATACAAATTTTATTGTTAGTATGAATAACTGCAAGAAGAATAACGAAGGAGACAAGATGGAGCTTAAAAAGGTGATTTTTTTGGTATGGTGAAGTGTGAAAGACAATTCACTCAGCTGTTCAGAAACTTATGGACTGAATAACTTCGACTGTTTACAAAGGGGGAGATTGTAGAGTCTATGTATTGTAAAAGTCGAAGTGGTTGTTTCTTTTGAGTTTCGCATATTAGTTATTTTATTAAGTCACAATTTTATGCGAAGCGTATTGTAATAGACTTAGTATATTTTGTGTACACTCAGGTTTCCTAGAAATAGGGACTGAGGTTAGAATTAGAAAGGACTTTTGAACTCGAGTATTCTTTCTGCTTAAAGCTTTGTAATCAGTCTTCATCAATATAAAATCCGATTAATATTTACTCATTGTGTTCTTACTTTTCAATCATTCGATCATAATTGATTTAATAAACTCGATAACAATTCTCTTAAAAACAAAAAATGAAACCAATATTATATGCATAAGTTTTATGTTATAAAAGTATGCAATATTATATGTATAAAAGTTATCCTAATATTATATGTATTAATTTTGTGTTATAAAATTATGCAACATATAAATTGACATACATTAAACCATATACATTCTTTATGAAAGAATACATACATACATTGGTACATTATATATGTTATTATTCTCCATATATTGACATAAAACATATTAGTATGTTTACTATTAAAAAGGATATTGAAAATGAAAGTCAAGTTGTTTAGAATTTAGATATTTTTAATTTACCCGAACAATTTATTTATATTTGAGATTGTGTTTTCTTAAAAAGTTTGAATAATTATCGAAATTTATGATTATTTAACTAGACATATAGAATTAAGTAAAACTGTTAACATGTTTTATGAAATGTTGCTCCCAAACCACCTCATCCATATTACCTTTACAAAAATATTTCTTTTTAGAAAAAAAAATAGTAATATATTCAACACTTAAAACGATGTTATTTTTTTTCTTTCAAAAAAATCACTCATAATTATAAAAGGTTTTAGAAAAAAAACAACTCATATTTAAATAACTATTTTAAAGAATAATGTTTTTAATTTTTTTTTCAGAATACAGCGTAATTTCTGATTATGAAAGACAATTTCTTAACAGCTATAGGTGAGAATGATTCATTATTTTGTTAAACCAAAATCAGATTGAAAATTTTGATTTTTTATTTTGGAAAATACCAAACCATTGGTTTTTTATTTCGGTTCTGGTTTTTCGTTTTTTTTAATATATTTTTCGGAGTTTTGTTTTTTTATTTCGTAAATTTCTTCATCAACAAATGTTGCTAGAATTTAGCAAAAATAAATATATTCTTAAACATAATATAAGAGAGTTTGTTCACATTTAGTCATTGAACTTTTTTAAAAGGAAACGAACTTTCGATTTTTTTTCACATTTAGTCACTAAACATTTTTTTGATTATCTATGTGCCACTGAACTATTGAAACTGTTCATATTTTACCTTTATGATCGGCAACAACTGGTTATAAGAGTAAAATGTGAACAGTTTCAATAGTTTAGTAGCAAACAGATAATGAAAAAAAATTAGTGACTAAATGTGAACAAAATTGAAAGTCTGTTATCCTTTCAAGTCATTATCCGGTAAAATAACAAAAGCTTGAATGGGCAGAGGCGGCATGACATACAAAAATTCAACATTAATAATGGGATTCAAACTCGTATTTGGTTATAAATAGAGTGATAATAAACTAAAGAGTAAATTACATGAATGGTCCTTATGGTTTGGAGTAATTAACGCATTTTGTCTCTAACTTATTTTTTTAACTCGAAAGGTTTTTATTATTTGTTTTTGTTACGCGCTTGGTCTCTGTCTTTCCTAAAAAGACTATTATTTAAATATAAAAAAAATGGTAGGATATGTAAGGTAAGGTGAGGGGTTGGGTTGTGGGTGTGTTTATTTAAATAAATTAAAAAAATTAACATCTAAATAGTCTTTTTAGGTAAGATAAGGATCAAACGCGCAACAAAAACAAATAATAAAGACATTCCAAATTAAAAAAAAAAAAAAAATAAAGTTAGGGAGCAAACATGGAAATTACCCTAAACCATAAGGACCATTTGTGTAATTTATGTTCATCTTTTTATAATTATTAATAATATATAATTTATATAATAACATTTTAAAGTCTTATTAATTTAATAATAAACTATTTTTTAGTGTATATATATATATATATATATATATATATATATATATATATATATATATATATATATATATATATATATATATATATATATATTAGGTTACAATTTGTAGAAACCACGAATAAAAAAGAAAATGTATATTGATGATTAAAAGTTATAATAAAAAATTAAAGAATTATAAAATTTTATTAAAGTAATTTATTAAAAACATGATAGTAAAAAATTATTTTATAAATAATAATTTATATACAAATGAATTTAGATTTAGTTAAAAAAACAAACCAAATTTAATTGAATATTGAATGAAGGACGGGTATAACAGGAAATTCACTTTTATGTAAAATGTTTGTGATAAGTAGGAATATATATATATATATATATATATATATATATATATATATATATATATATATATATATATATGTCTTACTAAAATATACACACTTTGAACTGAAATTTAGGTTGGTGATAAAATAAATAAATTAATATTTCGAATTGTGTAGAACTTCTTTGCAAACCAATATCTTTTTGGTGCAGCTCTCTATGGTGGGAATGAGTGGATATATACTCAGTTATTTCATTAGAATATATATATATATATATATATATATATATATATATATATATATATATATATATATATATATATATATATATATATATATATATATATGACCTATCCGTACCTAACTTTAATCGGTTAAACTTTGAATTTAGTTTTATTTTCATGTCTGTTCAAAATTACAAAATAATCTAAATAATCTTAAGTCGACAATATCTTTCAAAAGATGAAAAATGCCAATGACTTGAAAAGAAAACGACTTTTAATTTTGAAAATTAAATTAAACTAAATACAATTTAAATTAAAGCTAATAAAACTAACTATTTTTTATAAAAGGGTAAGTAGCACAAAGTATATTAAGTTCATACAAAAATTTTAATTTCACACTGTGTTTTTTGTTTGAATTTGAACACCGTGGTATTTATTTTTTTCTAAATGTAACCATATTACCGGTTTCCTTCAGGTCAATCGGTTTTCACTTTGCCAACTGTGCCATTAGCTTATATGGCATCCAGCTCAGATCCTATATGACAGTTGAGCCTTTATAAATGAACACTGACGGCCTCAACTCTTATGACCCTAGATCGATCTTCAATTTTTCTTCTCAGTTCTTCACTACGATTGTACAATGGTGTATTTGTCTCGATTAGCTGGATTAACGAGTAGGGTAAACAAGTCAAACAATGGTCCCTCTAGGACGTGCTACTATCGACTAGCAACCCTAATGAAGATATCAAAGAGTGAGAAGAATACTGGTAGAAGATACTTTAAGTGCATGTACTCTCCCGATGAAGTTGAAGACTATGGCTACTTTGAATGGTATGATGGTGATGTAAGTCCATGGTATAGGAACGTCTGCTTGAAGTTATGAAAAAGAAGAAAAAAACCACTAGACAGGGAAAAGGGAAGCCTCATCATGGTGAAATAAAGTTGGTATTTCTTGTTAGGGTTGTGATTGGTTTGCTTGTTATTTTACTAGTCGTGGTAGGGATTTTGATGTTAATGGTGTACAAGGCGTAAGTAGGAAGAAGTTGTGGAAGGTCTTCAAGTATGAATTAATGTCGATTAAGGTCCAATGTGACCATTTTTGTGTGTATGTACTGATGTACTAACTTGAAGTTTGTATGGTCGAATGTTAACCAATTTGGATATGTATATGTTTATGAAAGTGAATTGTAAGTATGATGTTGTATGATACTAATGGACCAAACTACCCTTACCTTATGTAACAAACCAATGACCAAAACAAAAAGGACCAAACTACCCTTACCTTATATAATAGACTCGTGACCAAAACAGAAAGGACCAAACTACCCTTACCTTATGTAACAAACCAGTGAAACAATTGCTACTAACAAGATACAAATAATGACCATAATTACCATACCTACATTAGATATATTTTTACCAAAATGCTACTAACAGATGATCATAAACACCATACCATCATTGCATAAATTGTTACCAACAAAATCCAAAAATTTTGCCAATATTTACCCATCCCATTTAGAAAAAGGATAAGAATGTTTGGGAATATCGTATACAAAAGATAATTAAAGTTAATGGGATTACATAAAGGTACACATTACTTAATACAAAAAAGGCTAACATAAACCATGCCCATCAACCCCTAACCTTCTACACCCTAATCTACTCCAAAGAAACAGGAGCCAACCTACTATAACTTGCTCTAACAACCTTCTTTCCGACAACTTTCTTTCCATTCTGAATTAAAGTAATTCTCTCTGAAGGCCTCCTTGCTCTCAACAACCTTTAGGATGGTGGTGTATCAGCAATGCCTCCATCCTTTGTTTCTGGTACAATATCAACTTAAGGCATAGGTGGAAATTGTTCAGGCACAGGTGGAACTTGTTCAACCTCTGGAACTTCTTCAGCTAAAACTTCAACATCCAATTGTTGTTCATTCAGTACATGATACACCTTATCCTATGAGTATCTTGATGCAAGCAACTGTCTATCATGTTTATCACCCTTGAAATCTTCGACCAACATAACATCTTGCATCCCTTCATCTTTATTGTCCATGTGGATACCTTCATGCACCCCTTTAACATATTGAGATGCCTTTGTTTTCCCCTGTTAATAAAACAATAATCGTGTTCAAACAATATTGGACACTAAATATTTGACAAAATTATTAAACCTTAACTTGTTCTGACTATTACACATTGCTTGACTATCCATTTGCTGACTCTTTTGACTTATAGATGTTGTTATTTTTTTTCCTTGGATCATCTCTACTCACTGGCCTACCCTTTGTTTTCTTTTCCTTTGGAGGTCTGATCTTACCCGGATTCTAGAAGGTTCTTTTTTTATCCCATTCCTCCCAACAATTTTGGTATATCTTTGTTCCTCTAACAAACTTCAACCTCTTGTACTCTCCATACTTCTCTGTGACATGTTTCCTTCTTTTGGTTTTAGGTCTTCCAGGTATCCTCCTTGATGATGGTGGCAGTGGTTTTGCATATGGTGTCCTGACCCACATTTTACTACCATTTATTATATTTCCTTATAAGTCTCTACAAACCTATCTATGGAACCATGGATTGATTAGTGTTTCAAGTTGTTATTGTGTGTGCGTAATAGCTGCACATGCATGGACACATGGAATCCCATATATTTCCAACAATCTACAAGTATAGAATTGTTCTCCTAAGTCCACCTGGAAATACTCAAATCCTATCCTCACTTTAAATACTTGTGTCTCACTAGCTACAACACTCCACAACATGTAATTCATGCGATACATGTTAGTGAATAATCGTATTGAATACCGATTAACCATAGTCAATAATGTTACCTCATATATGAATACCACAACTCAAGATTTTCTAATATTGTAGGACATACATCTTCCCTAAATGTTAAGTGTTTTGTAGACATCCTACAAAACCTCTCCATAACATACATTCCGATCTTCTCCAACATAGTATGAAGTGGTTTAGTCCTTGCCTCCCGAATTATGTAATTGAAGCTCTCTGATATACCATTTTTTACTGCTTTACATGCTCTACCCTCACTAAAAAATGCCCTACTCCAACTTTCTAGGTTCCTTGCCATGAGGTGGTCATAAGCACTCCCATTCATTTCTTTGAGTTCATCCATTGTCCCAATAAAATATGACTTTATGGTTGCCATTGAAGCTGCCCAAAAATGTCTCTTGTAATCAATCCCATTGTAAACCTTTTTAAAGTTGGCATACTCATGTCTGGCACACTGCCTATGCTTAACTAATGGTAACTTCTCCTTGACAAACTCTACTAAACCCTGCATGATACAAAAAAGTGTAAGCATACAAAAAAGAGAAAACATAGATAAAAGAGTAAACATACCTTATGTTGATTAGAAATTAATGTCATCCCTTCACCAAATTACAACCCAAGGTCTTCCACAAGCAACTTCATAAACCACAACCAGTTTGCCTTCTTTTCAACATCAACCACAACCTTGAAACATACATAGAATCTTCTAAATGCACTGCTACCATCTTCTTTGATATCAATTCCAACCTTTGTTGTACTACCAGGGTTTGATCTGATGATCTCTCCTCCATATTCCCATATACGAGCATAATGCTCTGATAACTTTCTAGTTAAAATACATCTTGCTTTCTTTTTAGCCCCAGAACACTGTCCCCTGGACACATAGTATAAAAACATCTTCTTAATCTTTTCTTTCATCTCCCTAGATTTCATATTTGGTCTAGCACTCAATTTTTTTCAAGAACCGTTTGGCTATCTAGTCAGGATTAACCAATATGGCATGTTTGTACTCCCTAACATAAGTATACTTACTAGTAGGTCCCTTAATTTGAAATGATTTCTCTTTTTGTTCAACCAGGATGCATACAGGTTGAAGGTATACCTCTTGCCTTTATTGTCTAAACCACGTTTTGCTTAAAGCCTTGTACTAAAAGATTTGGTCACCATAATTGGATAACCATTGTGAACTGCATAGTTAGTCAGGCCGAACCTTACCTCGGTTTAATTAGCATATTTTTCACCAGAATGTTGTTTCATTTTCTTCTAGTGAATAGAAGTGTTAGAACTAATTTCTTTCAGGATCGAATGATTCTAAGCAAGTTAATAAATAATAATGTAATAAAAAACACGAGAATTGCATTGAATATGTCGAATGATTATAACTTCAACACCTTAGATAAGCTCAACGAAGAACTTCAACTGTAGAGGAGTTTAGGGTTACAATGATAAACGTAATGAATGACTGCTTAATATTATGCATACATGCATCCATATTTATATCAAAACCCTATTAGCTAATCTAGATAACTATCAAACTATTCTAGATAACCACAGATGGATGGGCCCAATTCGGGTACAAAACTTATGGCCCAAGACGCAACACAAATGGATTCAACAATCTCCCCATTTGCGTCTTTGGAGTCGAAACTTCATTCTCTTTTAACAACAGTAGTCTTCTTCACAGTCTTGAACAACTTCGGTATGATAACTAACAGATGATGGAGAAATGTAATGTACCACCGAAGCATGTCAGTGAAATTCTTCTTATCAACCTCTGAATTTTTCTTGCATCGATGTATGATGTTAATGATATGCTCTAAGCAGTCTGTTGAAAAGAGATGTTTATCAACTAGAGCAAACAAAAACCTGTGAGCTTCACCCTTCGTGAACATGACAGTAAGATGTGTTGAATCTATCTGTCCCATTTTCATCTTGTTCACATCACCAGGTTTCGATGTAGTCTTCACAGTCAGCTTCTTATTCATCACCTTAGCTATCTCCTGATCCATAGTAGCAATTTCATGGATGTAGGAGGCCAACATTCTTTTCAAATGTTCTAATATAGGCTCATATTCCTTAGGACCAGAGAGCAGAATGTTGAACAGCAGAATCCAACCATGTGGATTAAGATTGGGAAGATCTGCTAGAGAGATGATTGACACCGTGTTTACTGAACCACGAGTTATCTTGAATTCGACGTTTACAAATTTCCCAGAAGGCAAAGGTTTAAGTACCTTGACTGAAACAAACTTCACGCTCCAAGTTAGATACTACGGTTGTCCATATATCTGTCGGGTTTTGAGCATTCTAACACTTCCTAAGTGTACATGCAACCCTAATAACCTTGGATCTATGTTTATCTAATTATCATGCACAGTTGAATTCCAAGGCTATATTCCTATCTAGCATACATGGGGAACAATTTTTAACTTGAATGATAGATAGAATAACTTACGTTGTTGTTGCTTATGTTCCTTGAAACCTTGTGAGCCTAGCACCCCAAGTGTGATGCCTCAAATGCTTCACACAACACCAAATGCTCTTGGAAAGACTTTTGAGAGAATGCACACTACTTGAAATCGGCGTAGCCCTCTTGTTTCATATGTGTAGCCGATTTTGGTGGAGAATGAGATCCTTATATAGTGTTGACACATCTAGGGTTACACCATGTAAACCCTAATGTGTCATGACTCTTCATTTCCATGACCCATGAGTTTGTAACTCCCATGGGGCATCCTATGGGTGGAACCCAACTTGATAATCCATGGAGCCTCTTAGCCCACTATACAATATATGGATGATTTACATAATCAACCCATATATTAATTAGTTATCTTTTGATCACTTAATTAATTCTAAATTAATTCTTGATCAAACTAATCAAATAATATTATTAATATATTAGAACTTCTAATATATTACTAATCTCCAAGTGTTATTTCTCTCATTTAGTCTATCCAATTGCATGGTGCCATGCAACCCAGATGGACCATGCCGGGTCGGGTCAAGTACATACCAGAAATAGTTATGGACTTATACACCTTATCCAATAGTCTCCCACTTGGATAAGTCTGATAACTATTACTGCAAGTATGACTTCAGGAACCGATCGGCAATCGTAGCTCTTTTCAAGGTTTCTCGGAACTGAGAAGATGATGGTACGCCATTTAAGATAAGTGATCATATAATCCTCTGTTCTAGATTTCAGTCGGACAAATACATGGAACAATGTCTTACTTATTGTCCAACAGTTTGTTTCCTGATTTCCGATTTGTTTGACAAATAACTTAATTGAACACATCAACTTAGTTCTGACCGGGCCCGGTACATAGGTCAAAACAAAATCATCGAAGGGCACATATATCAGCTTCTAATCCAAGAACGAACAGATAAACTTCGACTCATATGTTTGTTCTACCACTCATTGACTTACACACAAAAGTACGTTTTATAACATCGAGTTACCAATGCATTTTTGTACAATCAATGCATAACCAACTTGTAAGTAACAAATCATATCTCTAGGTTTGAAGACTTATATGATATTACCGTCTCACGATCACTCGAGATAGAATTCCATGAACTGATTCCAGTGAGCGTGGGTTGAGTCCAATGCTCAGAACTTATGAGCACTCATGATTGTTGTAGCCTTGTCTAACACCTTAGACCTCTGCAACCAATCATGACAGTCTTGATTCATACCTACTTCCGACATATGACCGACTGTGGAGGTTTGAATAATATGTTATACCAAACAAAATTATTCTGGAAGTCAAAACATGCAAAAGAAATATAGTAAACGATTGACAAGAGATAGCAACACTTTACTCATAAATAAAACACCTTTTATTCATCATCTAATGTCAATTACACTTTACAAATTTCGAGGTTATCTAAGTACTAAATCTAGTATCATCCTTCAGCCCTATGCTCCGAGCATGCTGGAGATGCTTAACCCGAGTCAGTCCCTTCGTGAGGGGATCTGCCTGATTCTCATCTGATGATACCCTCTTTGCCACGAGGAGTCCTTCTTCTATTCGATGTCTAATAAAATGGTATTTTCTGTCAATGTGCCTGGATCTCCCATGATCCCTTGGTTCCTTGGCTAAAGCAACAGCGCTTTCACTATCACAAAAAATTTACATTGGCTCTTTAATAGCTGGTACAACTCCAAGGTCTCCGATGAAGTTCTTTAGCCATATAGCCTCCTTTGCGGCCTCGCTCGCTGCAATATACTCTGATTCACAAGTTGAATCAGCCACTGTCTCTTGCTTGGAACTCTTCCAAGAAATTGATCCTCCGTTTAGGGTAAAGACCCAGCCCGACTGAGAGCAGAAATTATCCCTATCAGTCTGGAAGCTAGCATCACTATACCCTACAACTCTTAAGCTATCACTCCCACCGAGGGTAAGGACCCAGTCCTTAGTCCTTCGTAGGTACTTGAGGATATTCTTTACTGCAGTCCAGTGTGCCTTGCCAGGGTTCCCCTGAAACCTGCTAACCATGCTCAGGGCAAAGGCTACATCAGGTCGAGTACACGTCATAACATACATGATCGATCCTACAGCCGAAGCATAAGGTATTCGACTCATTTCTGCTATCTCAGCCTCAGTGCTAGGGCTTTGTGTCTTACTTAATTTGGCGTTACTCTGGATGGGTAACTCTCCTTTCTTGGAGTCCTGCGTGCTGAATCTCTTCAGCACTTTATCCAAGTAGGTACTCTGACTAAGTCCAATTAGTCTTTTACTCCGATCTCTCGAGATCCTTATCCCTAGAATATAGGCAGCTTCACCAAGGTCCTTCATATCGAAACACTTCCCAAGCCAGGACTTTACTTCCTGCAGGGTTGGGATGTCGTTTCCTATGAGTAGTATGTCATCCACATACAATACCAAAAAGCTAACTATACTCCCACTAGCCTTGACATACACACAAGATTCATCTTCACTCCTAGTAAAGCCAAATTCCTTGACCTTTTCATCAAAGAAAAGATTCCATCTGCGAGGTGCTTGCTTTAATCCATAAATGGATTTCTCAAGCTTACACACTCTATTAGGGTACTCGTTGCTGAAAAAACCTTCTTGCTGACTCATGTAAACATCTTCAGCCAACTTACCATTAAGGAAAGCGGTTTTGACATCCATTTGCCAAATTTCATAGTCATGAAATGCGGCTATGGCTAACATAACCCTAATAGACTTAATCTTGGCTACTGGAGAAAAGGTCTCATCATAATCCACTCCAGGAATTTGAGAGAAGCCCTTTGCGACTAGTCGAGCCTTATAAGTGTGTACATTACCATCCATGTCGGTCTTCTTTTTGAAGATCCATTTGCACCCTACTGTCTTACGACCTGGTACATTCTCAACCAAGTTCCAAACTTGATTGCCATACATGGATTGTATCTTGCTATCCATAGCCTCTTTCCATTTAGCAGACTCGGGGCCTGCCATGGCTTCCTCGTAGCTATTAGGGTCATCTTGACTTACTAGTGTCCCATCACTAATAAGTGTCTCACCTTCTGCAGTAATATGGAAACCATAGAAATGCTCAGGTGCACTCCTAACTCTCGTGGAACGCCTCAGAGGTATAGATTCGTCAATTGACTCAACAAGAGTTTCCTCCT